AATATTTGCATTCCACCCGGGAATATGTCAATACCAGACTGAGTGCTGCTGCCGTGCACCATCTCTCCCAGCAGCCGAGCAGCCGCATCCATCCCGGGCTGGGGTTCCCATGTCGGCGCGGGCAGGTGCCGCTGCCGTTACTGACGGTGACGTGCACACACACACACACCCCCACACCCACGGGCAGCTCCTTCGTGCTGGTGACAGTTCACTCTGGCAAAGAGCTGCCTGGTTACCATCACAGCAGAGCCATCTCCTCCTCCCCGCTGCCGCGAGCGCCCAGGCAGCTCTAATCCCCGCAGACCGCGGGAGCCGAGCCGGAGGAGCTGCCAACAGGAGTTGCTTTGTTTGTGCTGACTTGGGTAAGTGAAATATGATTTATTTCATAGGCGTTTGCTTTTGCTGTCCATTCTGTGCAGTGGAGCAGGTGGGATTGTGGCTAACCATTTTTAAAGATGAATTTTATTTAGAACAGGAATTTTCCTGGAGGACCTCTCTGTTAGTCTGGTATCCTACAGCACTCACGTTGTATTTAGCAATTTCATAGAAAGCTGCCTGCTGACATTTTACTTCAAAAGTATGTTGAGGAATCTGAAATATTTATAATGAGAAATGTGATTTTTGCAAGTGCTCGTTATGGACTACTAAGTTAACACACTGCTTTTGAATTGATGGAGCAGTAGGATGAATACAAGATGTTTGATGTGGATTTGTTTTTAACAGCAAGCTCCTGTTTTCAATTTCTTCTCTTTTGTCCCTGAGCACAGAGGCTGGCCTGGCAGTTAATTCATTCAGATTGCTTATTTTGGTGTATTTTTTTAAAGCAAAGCCCTTTGACTTTTCTCTCCTCCTTGTTTTCTGTAAACTTCTTTCTAATTCTAAAGGCAAAATCATGAAAGCAGCACGTATCTTCCCCCTCCACACGTAACTTTGTCACAAGACTATTAATCATGCCTTACAATAATTTTGCTAATGCAGTATATCCATTCAGGAGCAGAGTGTCTGTCTGCAGATGGATTTGTTACTGTGAGATATGAAAGTGGAACAAATTTCTTCAGGAAATATTTAAGCAAGGTCATAATAACACTCATTACATTCTAAGCAACGATGTGTCATTTGCTGGATCAGACGGAGTACAGCAGCAGTCGCGTTTATTGACTTAGTCTGTAGAAGAGCCTAAAGGTTAGACATTAATATTGAAACTACTGACTACTTTTAGCATATACTCATCAGATTGAAGTCCTGCATATTGCTTAATTTTCTACGATGGGGGAGACAGAGGCTAAACAAATTAAAGCGATGTTATGAACCTCGTTTTAATCTCTAAAGATCTTTACCTACATTAATTAATGAGCATTTCTATTTTTTTATGGGAGCTTAACACACTACTCTTCTTTCACCATCACAAGGTGAATGGGCAAACAGCTCCTTCTCTAGATGAGGTGTTTAAAATAAGGCATTTTTCAAGTGCATATTGGGTGTCCCCTGCCCCATTCTCCATCCATGCACCCCACTGCTGTGGCTGCAAAACATCCCCCCAAGCGAGGGGATGATGGACATGGGAAGGGGGTGTCAGGATGGATCTGACAAGCGATGTGGGTCAGGAGTGTGATGGAAGCGTGCAAAGGGACACATGACACGGCAGGAAAACCTGCCAGCCCAAGCACAAAACGTGTTTGCCCAACTTTTGTGGTGACATTTTTTCTCTTCCTGAGGAAAATAAAGATGCTTCAACTAAGTGAGTAGATACATTCCACCCTGTTTGCCCACACGCTGTGTACGAGCACTGAGAAAGGCCAGGATGCTGTTGGGTGAGAGCCTGAATAAACAGCAAAAACCAGACAACAAATATATCAGATGCTGCATTGTCACAAACTGCTGTGAAGTGCAACAAGTGGCTTAACCAGACTGAGAGACAAAGTTGAGGCGAGTTCCCAGAGCCTGCAGCGGGAAAGGCACAGGTCCTGTTATCCCAGCACCACGGCTGGACCGAGGCACCTGCCTCCTGCACCAAACCCCTTCCCAAATACCTTCCTGTGTAAAGAGGAAAAAGTACTGAGGATAACGTGATCCAGCGTGAGGAAGGTGGGCACACATTCATCACCCAGCACATATGCAGCTTTACATTTCAGGCAATTCAAACGTTTCATTATTTTGCTCTCAAAATAGCAGCAGTTACTCCCCTTCCTCGCAGAAAGGCGAAGGGAGGCAGGAAATGACTTGCTCGTGATGGCACAGAAAAACTGAGAAAGCAGGAAATCAAATACACGTG